GACCCCTCTCGAGAAACATTTAAATTTTCCTATATTCTTAGAAGAGTAAAACTTGTTTGTTTTCCATGGCTGCCAAGTAGAAACATATTGAAGGGATATTTGATTCGGTTTTCCTCAAAGGTCGCTTCTTGTATGCCTGTGAACTGAGTTCAATGTTCTTGCAATGCAGTCAACTTTGGTATGACTGAGGAATTTTTCCCCCATATTTATGCTATAAGCAAAGTCAGTTGCCATCGAGTCGATTATGACACATGGTGACCCCATGTGTGTCATAGTAGAACTGTGTGCCATGCGATTTTCAACAGTTGATTTTTCAGAAGTAGATCACCGTGCCTTTCTTCTGAGGTTCCTCTGGGTAGATTTTAACCTTCAATCTTTCAGTTAGCAACTGAGCACAATAACCATGTCCACCACGCAGGGACTCCGTTTATGTTTTAAGTGCATATATTTTTTATCTAAGAGTCTGCTCTCCTGCCAGGACATTTTGCATACCATCTACTGACCTTGTCAAATTACAGAAAGGCGTCATCTTCTTTCCCAGCATATATGCACAATCTAAAAATAAAATCTCTAATTAACAAAGAGTTACATATTTTTTATGACTCTCTGTACTTAGGCATGTTATATCACTTACTGTTCTGTATCATAATTTTCTTTTTACTTGTCTTTCTTTGAGGGTTGCCAGATAAAATACAGGATACTCAGTTAAGCTTGAATTTCAGATAAACAACAGATAAGACTTTATTGTAATATGTCACCAAAACTTCATGGATATACTTACATTAAGAAAGTATTCTTTATCTGAAATTCAAATTTAACTGGATGTGCTGTGTTTTTATTTGCGAAATCTGGTAATCCTAGTCTCTTTCCAAGTAGATAACAAGATTTTGTATCTTGTTCATTCCTGTGTCCCCAACCCAAGCACAGGATCTTCACATATTAGATACTCAATTTTGTTGAATTAATTAATGAAAATACAAAACGAACAAATATAAGATGGATAGTGTCAACAAAAATATGTATAAGCTGAAATGAGATATTCAATTGAGCTAAACTCAGCGTATGATTAGTATAGACTTGGTTACAGGATAATTGTACACAAATTTTGAATATTTAATCATATGTGAGAATTCTGATGTCTAATTCAAACTCTTTATAATCTCTTCAAACTTTTGATTGTGACCCTAATACTCCCCAGCATGTTTTCTCCTTTTCAAAATGGGCGACTGAGAGCTTGACGTGACACCCCACAGGAAGATTAGAGCCCAGATGTCAGATATGTATATCTTTAGCCCAATAAGGAAATGTCCGGCAGGTATCTCTTTGGTATGATCAACAGTCTCTTGTAATTACCTTGTAATGAATAATGACACTTCTAACCTTTGTAAAAATCATATATAAGCTCTAATGTAAACATGCCTTTTGGGACTCCATAGAGACACCCGCGTTGCTGTCGGATCCCTGGTGGTGTACACTTCCTAAAATAAAACTTTCTCACTCTTTGGGTACCTTTCATTGGCTCAACTGCTCCAGGGCACGGACCCTATTTGGGTAACATGATGAAGTGTTACACTTAAGAATGGCCTCAATATACTTACTACACCATTTCTAAAAGACGGAGAACACTGATGGACACAAGCAGGAGGGTTAAGTACAAACTATCGAATCGGAATCTAATTTGCTCTGTGAAATTTCCACCTAATGCACAATTTAAAAAAGTAAGTAGGAGGGTCATGGAAACTCCAGCTGAGAACCAAACTCTCTTTGACAGTATTTTCCCTTGACACCAGGGGCTAGTAATCAAGGATATAATTGGGTTAATATACCAATAAAATCAAACAATTTTCCGCAGGAAATTAAGAAAACAACAAAACTTTCCATTCAGTGAGGAAAGAGCATTTTGGGGAGATTTGAACATGAATTACACGCAACCCAGTACATATCTATAAAATAAAACAAAAATAAGCCTAAAATTGCCTCTATGTACCATACTTTATCCATACTTTATTTTGTTCAATTTCATTTTATGATTTCTCTCTTTCCTCTCTCATTCTAAAATTGAAAAAACTTGGTTTTTATTTTTTTTAATAAATTTCTGCTGACTATGTCCTGTACATCAGCATTTTAAAGAATAGAAAAGCATTTTTATAGCTTCTTATAGAAGATAGTGCACTCAGTTTGTCACCAAAGATGTGTGTCCATCTTCTGCTTACTAGAATATGCTCTTATACCAGTCTCTCTGAGTCTGTTTATCCAGCTACAAGAAAGGGGTCAGGATTCCTCCTTCATGTGGTTATTATAAAGATCAAATGAGAACGTATATATGAAAACAAGAGTAGAAAGCTCTATAGGTACACATTCATTACCAGGGTGGAAAAAATAAAAGGTGTCTACATGGAATGTAAAGAGTTAAGCACGAGGAATCACCTTGGAAGTTTCCATTAGGGCATTTGTCGACAAAGGATAACTAGTCTGCTCAATTACTTTTAATTCAAAATCTACAACCACCTGTTCAGGGTCTATTGTGGTAGAAACTAGAAATACTGAGTTAAAAGAGGTAGGATTCCTGACCAAAAGGAGCTACACATTCTTGCTGCTTTTAATGGGGCTTAAAATCCAACCACATATCTAAAAAGACTAGATAGATAGGTGGGTAGATAGGTAGATAGGTAGGTAGATAGACAGGTAGGTAGGTAGGTATAGGTGTAAGTATAGATATAGATACAGGTGTGTGTGTGTACATATATATATATAATACATGAATATATATGTATATATATATACACATACACACACAATGATCAAACTCTGTTACTAAATGGAAAACAAACCAACCAACTCTTAAATAAATTATTTCAGGACTTTGCTCAAGATCCCTGCTTAGCAGAATAGTGTTTTCCAAGAATGCTTTGGGCCCTTGCTCTTTCCAAGATAAATTGTTTTTCCCCCTCTGTCCTTCCCCCTGGCCCGAGGAAGAACAGATTCACCTCTAGAGCCTCTGGAGGGCACAGCCCTCTGACACCTTGATTTTTGCTCAGAGAAACTGATTTTGGACTTCTGGCCTCCCAAACTGTGAGAGAATAAATTCTTACTTAAAACCACCAAATTTTTGGTGATTTCCTACAATGCCAATACATATACATGTTTCCTACTGGTGTTATAGAAAATTACCACAAATTTGGTGACTTTAAGCAACAGAAGTTTGTTGTTTCACAGTTTTGGAGGCCAGAAGCGGTTCATTGGTAGAATTCTTGCCTTTCATGTGGGAGACCTGGGTTTGATTTCCACCAATGCACCTCAGGTGCAGCCACCACCCATCTGTCTGTGGAGGCTTGCATGTTGTGGAGGCTTGCATGTTGTTGTGAGCTTCCAGACTAGGAAGAACTGGGAAGAAAGGCTTGGTGATTTACTTCCGAAAATCAGTCAACGAAAACCCTAAGAATCACAATGGTCCAATTTGCAACCAATCATGGAGATAGTGTAGGACTGGGCAGCATTTCATTCTGTTTTGCGTGGAGTCACCACAAGTCAGGGACCAAGTCAACAGCAGCAGCTAACAACAATTTTATATATATGTGTGTGTATATATATATATATATGTATATATATATATAAACCCTGGTGGCACAGTGGTTAAGAGCTTGGCTGCTAACCAAAAGGTCAGCAGTTTGAATCTAGCAACTACTCCTTAGGAACACTATGGGGCAGTTCTACTCTGTCCTATAGGGTCACTATCAGTAGAAATTGACTTGATGGCAATGGGTTTGGGTTTTTTTTTTTTTTGGTTTTATATATATATATATATATGGAACCCCGGTGGTAGAGTGGTTAAGTGTTTGGCTGCTAATCAAAAGGTCAGCAATTTGAATCCACCAGCTGCTCCTTGGCAACCCTATGGGGCAGTTCACTCTGTCCTATAGGTTTGGTATGAGTTGGAACCAATTCGATGGCAGTGGGTTTGGTTTTGGGTTTTATATATAGATATAGTGTATGTGTATAAATGTGTGAGTATAACTATAATTGCACTTAAAAACAAGATGGAACACTCTAAGGGGACTAGAACTTGGAAAAAATTCCTAAATGAAAAAAAATCACAGGGATTGAATGGATTAAAAAAACACACACACAACACCAAAAATTTATGCATGATTGAAAATGTGAGATTTGTACCAAAAAACTCTACACCTGGAGTATGATGGGTACCAGAAGCAATAAACATGGTCATTTGTAAGAGCAGCCCAGCAACCTGTGTCCTGTTGACTAGTCACAGTGATGGGAGTGATTGTTACAATATGAAAGAGTCAATGAGGAAGATTAGATTAGAGAGCATGGAGAATGGACAATGTGCGTGTGACTGTGATACCTAGAGGAATGAGGAGCACCCACACTCAGAAAGAATGGGCACTAAGTTGCAAGCACACAGGGCTTCCCCCATACTTTCAGTGAATCAGTGTTCTGGTAGTTTACACAAACACTTACAGCCACACAATTGAAAATGAAATATTCACTACAAAGAGGAGACAATCAGGAATAATGAGATATTTGAGGAAAGCCAACACATAAGTGAAAGAGAGAATAGGTCAACACTTGGGAAGAACTTACAATGAGGGAAACACCGCTAACAGAGCAAGCTGAATAGAGCGTTAAAAAGAAAAGGCATAATTAATATCCTCAGGAGACATGCAAAAGGCTAAAGAGTCATAAGAATAACAAATTACAGATCATAGAAATTAAAATTTGGTTATTTAAATGAAACCTTAAGGGATGATCTGAAAAGTAGAACACACACAGCCAAAGACAGGTGTAGTAAGAAGAATGAGCCAAAGAATTCTCCCAGGAAGAATACAAAGGAAAAAAAGAAGAAGGAAAGTACAAAAGAAAACTTAAAGACTTTGTAGAATAGACCCAAAATTTCCATACTCATTTCAGAGTAGTTCCAGAAGGTAAGAATAGACCAAATGAAGGAGAAATGACATTTAAAGATATGATATAGGAGAATCGTGCTTGCTTTGACAGCACAGATACTAAAATTGGAATGACACAGAGAAGATTAGCATGGCCTCTGTGCACGGATGACATGCAAATTCAGGAAGCATTCCTTATTTTTCACCAAATGAGCAACTCCTGTCCAAAAGCAAGATGAGAAAGCAGGAAGGGATAGGACTTGGACAAATGGACACAGGGAACCCGAGGTGAAACGGGGGAGTATGCTGTCACATTGTGGAGATCGCAACCAATGTCACAAAAAAATACATGTATAAATTTTTGAATGAGAAATTAACTTGAGCTGTAAACTTTCACCTAAAGCACAATAAAAAATAAAAAATAAAAAAGATATAGGAGAATTACCTTAATCTCAGAAAGAAAGACATGAGTTCTGAGATTAAAATTTCTTACTGAAAGCCGAACAACAAAAATAAAAACAAAAACTACACCACTTTTAGTGTAATTTCAGAACACCAAAAATTCTGGAGAAAAAGCCTTAGAACTTCCAAAGAACAACAAAAGTTACCTACAAATGACCAAGAATCCACTGATGTTGTTGTTAGGTGCTGTTGAGTCGGTTCCGATGCATAGCAACCCTACATACAACAGATGAAACACTGCCCGGTCCTGCACCATCCTCACAATCGTTATGCTTGAGCCCATTGTTGCAGCCTCTGTGTCAATCCATCTCATTGAGGGTCTTCCTCTTTTTCATTGGCCCTCTACTTTACCAAGCATGAAGTCCTTCTCCAGGGACTGATCTCTCCTGATAACATGTCCAAAGTTTGTGAGACATAGACTCACCATCCTTGCTTCCCAGGAGCATTCTGTTTGTACTTCTTCCAAGACAGATTTGTTCGTTCTTTCGGCAGTCCATGGTACATTCAGTATTCTTCGCCAACACCAAATTTGGAGGCATCAATTCTTCTTTGGTCTTCGTTATTCATTGTCCAGCTTTCACATGCATATGAGGTGATTTAAAACACCCTGGCTTGGGTCAGGCGCACCTTAGTCTTCAAGGTGATATCTTTGCTTTTCAACACTTTAAAGAGTTCTTTTGCAGCAGATTTGGCAATGCAATGCATCTGATTTCTTAGCTATGCTTCCAGAGACGTTGATTGTGGATCCAAGTAAAATGAAATCCTTGACAACTTCAGTCTTTTCTCCATTTATCATGATGTTGCTTATTGGTCCAGTTGTGAGGATTTTTGTTTTCTTTATGTTGAAGTGTAATCTATACTGAAGGCTGTAGTCTTTGATCTTTATCAGTAAGTGCCTCAAGTGTTCTTCACTTTCAGCAAGCAAGGTTGTGTCATCTGCATAACGCAGGTTGTTAATGAGTCTTCCTCCAATCCTGATGCCCCGTTCTTCGTACAGTCCAGCTTCTTGGATTATTTGCTCAGCATACGGATTTAATAGATATGGTGAAAGGATACAACTCTGACGCACACATTTCCTGACTTTAAATCATGCAGTATCCCCTCTTTCTGTTTGAACGACTGCCTCTTGGTCTACATACAGGTTCTCCATGAGCACAATTAAGTGTTCTGGAATTCCCATTCTTTGCAATATTATCTGTGATTTGTTATGATCCACACAGTCGAATGCGTTTGCATAGTCAATGATAAACTGGGAAACATCTTTCTGGTATTCTCTGCTTTCAGCCAGGATCCATCTGACATCAGCAGTGATATCCCTTGTTCCACGTCCTCTTCTGAATCTGGCTTGAATTTCTGGCAGTTCCCTGTTGATATACTACCGCAGCTGCTTTTGAATGATCTTCAGCAAAATTTTACTTGTGTGTGATATTAATGATATTGCTTGATTATTTCCACATTCAGTTGGATCACCAAGAAAGGTGATAAACATGCATCTCTTCCAGTTGGTTGGCCAGGTAGCTGTCTTCCAAATTTCTTGGCATAAATGTGTGAGCACTTTCAGTGCTGCATCTTTTTGTTGAAACATCTAAATTGGTATTCCGTCAATTCCTGTTGCCTTGTTTTTTGCCAGAGCCTTTGGTGCAGCTTGGACTTCTTCCCTCAGTACCATCAGTTCCTGATCATATGCTGTCTCCTGAAATGGTTGAAAGTTGACCAATTATTGTTGGTATAGTGACTTTGTATTCCTTCCATCTTCTTTCAATGCTTCTTGCATTGTTTAATATTTTGCCAATAGAATCCGTCAGTATTGAGACTAGAGGCTTGAATTTTTTCTTCAGTTCTTTCAGCTTGAGAAATGGTGAACGTGTTCTTCCTTTTGGGTTTTCTATCTCCAGGTCTTTGCACATATCATTATAATACTTTACTCTGTCTTCTCGAGCTACCCTTTAAAATCTTCTGTTCAGCTCTTTTACTTCATCATTTCTTCCTTTCTCTTTAGCTACCCAACTTTCAAGAGCAAGTTTCAGAGTCTCTTCTGACATCCATTTTGGTCTTTCCTTTCTTTCCTGTCCTTTTAATGACTTTTTTGCTTTCTTCATGTATGATGTCCTTGATGTCATTCCACAACTCTTCTGGTCTTTGGTCATTAGTGTTCAATGCATCAAATCTATTCTTGAGATGGTCTCTAAATTCAGATGAGGTATACTCAAGGTCATACTTTGGCTCTCGTGGACTTCTAATTTTCTTCAGCTTCAACTTGGATTTGCATATGAGCAATTGATGGTCTGAAGAAAATTAGAACAAGTCCGCTGCTATTAGTCTTCTGATAAGTAATACTGGAGACAATAAGATGATGAAAAAATACCTTCAAACTTTGACCTTAGAATTCCAATCTTATCCAAATTATAAAGATTAAAAAAAATTTTAAACGTGCAAAAAATTTAGAATATTTACCACCAAAACTCTTTCTGCAAGAATATCATGAGGATGTACACCAGTGAGAAAAATATTATCCCTAGAAGAAGTTGTTGTATTCCAGAAGCAATGATAATCAAAGAAATTACTAAGACCTATTGAGAAGTCTGAACATATATTAATTATCTAAACTGAAACTTCTGAATGATAACAACAAAATATATCAAAAGACTTGGAGAAGGGAGCAGAGGGACTTTTAAATGCACCGATTTTCTTATCTTATCTTGTTCAATTGAAGGATATAGTTACTAGTTAAACTTGGACATTGTTAGAAAAAATTACATATTTCATTACATGAGACAAAAAAGTTCACCTTTATAGAACAGAGTGAGAATATAAAACATTTAAATAAGTAAAAAAGGGAAAGTGGAAGAGACTGCATAGGCCCAGCTCACTATTATTTATTCCCCATTGCTAACCGCCACATTGTCTCTTGATTTTTCCCTCCCGTTCTAGTCTCTACAAAAAGGTTTAAGATTAACCGATGTTCCTCTCTGGAGGGTGGAAAACAAGTGATAATGATCTAAGAATGAAAAACCAAACAAAGCACCCATCTTGTGACAAGAAAAAGCAGGATGTCACCAGACAATCCCCAAAGATGTCACCAGATAACCTCTAAGAATACCAGTAGAAGGTTAACTCATCTAAGACATCATCACCTCAAGGAGAAACAACCACAAAACATCCATAATCCTGTCCCTACAAAAGACTTCAGCCGAACTCCAGTGGGGGAGACGGTTTTTTTAGAGGAATCTATTCCCCTCCGTCTCCTATATATTGATATATAATAAACATCTTGCTGCTCACCTCACCCCTGTCTCAGAATTGGCTATTGCGGCAGGCGGCTCCAATCCGCGTTATTGCGGTAACAAAAGGAACAAAGGCAGGAAAGGGGGGGACAACAAAAGCATGATAAATAGAAAATATGAAATATTAAGTAAGGAGTAAATTCAGTCATACCTAAACTCATCAAAAATGAAGGAGTTATATTAACTATTAAAACAGAAATTCATTTTTTTTAACCCAAGCATATATTATTTAATCATATCTATAGTGGAAAATTACAACAGCGGTTGTCAATGATGGTGGGGTTTATTGATTGGAAGGGGGAATGAAGGAACATTTTGGGGTGATAGTCATGCCCCACATCTTGAGATTTGTGCTTTTCATGGCATACAAATTTTACATAAAAAGAAAAAAACTCTAAACAAATATTGAAATCTAGTGAATGATATTCAAATTAAAATATTTAGCTGGGAGTACACTGACTACAATTTACCTTGAAATATATATCAGTGGAATAAATGGATTATCAGAAGAATGGATAAATACATGACAATGCAAGTATAGTAGAATGCTAATGGTAACAAATGTTGATAGCAGCATAATTTGCACAGCATAAAAGAGGAAACAACTCAAATGTCTATCAACTGATGAATGGATAAACAAAATGCAGTATATCCATACAATGGATTATTATTCTGTCATAAAAAATGAATGAAGTACAGATACATGCTACAACATGGATTAACCTTGAAAACATTTGCTAAGTAAAAGAAGCCAGACATAAAAGGCCACATCTAATATGGATCCCAATTATATTAAATGTCCAGAATAGACAAATCCATAGAGACAGAAAGTAAGATTAGTGGTTGCCAGGCGCTGAGTGGAGAGGGAAACTGAGAGTGACTGCTAATGTGTACTGGGTTTCTTTTGGGGGTGAGAAAAATGTTCTGTCTCCAAGTATTGTATTCAGGTACATACTTAGAATTAGAGTGATGTTTTGGTCATGAAACATTTCATTTTATACTTACATAGTTACATAGCTTAGATGCCATTTTCCAGAGAGCTATGTTTCATAAATCCATAGATTTCAGGTTTGTTTTCCCTAAGATTCTTAGACACCAGGTACATCCAGCTAAAAGCACTTCGTAAATAGTGGCCATCTAAAATACCTCTACTAGTCCCATCCCAGCTGGAGCAAAGGAGAATGAAGAAGACCGAAGACACAAGGGAAAGGTTAGTCCAAGGGACTAATGGACCACAACTACCACAACCTCCACCAGACTGAGCCCAGAACAACTAGATGGTGCCCAGTTACCACCACCGACTGCTCTGGCAGAGATCACAATAGAGGGTCCTGGACAGAGCTGGAGAAAATTTTAGAACAAAATTCAAATTAAAAAAAAAAAGTCCAGGTTGCTGGTCTGACAGAGAAAAGACCTACCCATCTACTCCATTCTAACAGGAATGGTCTTTTTCCACG